AAACAGCAGACGAGCTGAATGAGACGCAGATTCACTCTCTGCCAGCAGGGTGGCGCTTAAAGTGGTTCCTTGGTTTCAGCTGTAAACAAAGCAGCGCTGCACTTATGGCAAGATGAAAAGAAAAAATACCGTCTAAACTTTTCTAAAGACAGTAAGTTCCCCTCAGACATACATTCATATAAACTCCTACCCCTAATTGAATCGCGATTTGTTTAGCATCTCAACCGATTTGAATCATCACATATTTTAATCGATTTTCAACCGGCTCGCGGTGAATCGTTACATCCCTAGCAATAGCACATAAATATAGCAAAATGCTCCTCTTTATAGTTATTTTTTTAGCTGACTGATGATCTTATGGAAACCGAATGGTTATTCTGAAGTAAATGTATTATTACGTTGCAATGTTTACAAGCTTCACACGTTTTCCACAGTTTGAAACACTGAATGAGCTTTTACATGAGACATTTCAGTAAGTTGTACTGTAGGCTCCCTTATAAAATAGCCCTTGATGTTAATTCATGTTCATTTTGTACTATAGTAGTAAAGAGAAAGATATAATGGGTTCACTTACCACTTGAACTGAGGCGCTAAAGCAATCGGTCCTGCTTCATTAAAGAGTGCCAAAACTGTATTTATTGTTAGAATTTCGTTATGAATTAGGCATAATTTATAGCTGATACTTTGTTTATTAAAAAGTAACAAAGCACAAAGCCTTTTGCGATTATTGGACGGCAAGTGCGCTTCAAATAATATGAAGTTAACGCATTAACAGATCACAGCATATAGGCTAAGAAGAAGCCATATTAGTAATGATTATAAACGAGAACTGTTAACGATATTGCCAATATCCACACAGCTGACAGCTTTACCTGTTGTAGTTTGTTCAAGTTGAGAACGAAATAGACACTGCTTTTGTGCACTTTTACTTGCACGCGACGTCTCCGTCATCTCTCTGGCTGCGTGTGTATTTTCAGTTGTATTAAAGTATTTAATTGGTATTTTTCAATAATTAATAAGTTCATAATCTATATTTTCTAACATCTTGAATTTTTTTCATTAATCTAATCACAGTGCATTCTGGGTTTGCCTACTCTGCAAAAGGTTACAAATTAAGTTACAAATTGCTGCCTTAGAATTTGTCTAAAATGTTGCTTCTTGGAAGGCAGCATTTTCTGTTTTCTTTATTTTTAATAGTAATTAATATTTTTATTTTATTATTATGTTGTGTTTTTGTTTTAACAAATGTATTAAAATTTGTTATTATTTTAATTATTGTTTTTATAATTTGTTTTATTTTACTTATGTTCAGTAACACTGCACAACAGAGTCAAGAACCTAGGCGTTGTCTTTGATTCTGATTTATTATTCGACAAGTTGATAAATTCTGTAGTGAAAGGAAGCTTCTTTCATCTCCGATCCATCGCCAAATTAAAACAGTTCCTCTCAACGAAGGACCTAGAGGTAGTGATCCATGCACTTATTACATCCCGGCTTGATTACTGCAATTCACTATATATGGGTTTATATTATTCCTCTATACATCGTTTGCAGTTGGTCCAGAACGCGGCAGCTAGACTTTTGACGAGCACTAGGAAGAGAGAGCACATTACTTCTGTTCTCACTTCCTTGCATTGGCTACCAGTTAAATACAGAGTCGATTTTAAGGTTTTGCTGCTTGTTTATAAAGCTCTGCATGAGCTAGCACCTCAGTATATTGCTGATCTCCTTAAACCATATTCTGTGTCAAGATCTCTCTGCTCTTGTAACCAATTGCTTCTTTCTGTTCCCCGGTCTCGTTTAAAGACTAAGGCCTGTGTTATACTTTCCGCGTGCGTGGGTCCGCTATGGTATGCGTGACGTAAAAATCGTCATCGGAGAGTGTGCGCGGAGGCTCTGCGCGCCTCCCATTTTTTGTGACAGCGCGTACTTGTCCGCGCTACAAAAGCACCAACTGCGCATGCGCAGGCTGTGTGAACAATCCCATTGCTACTCGAACCTGTACAATCCGTCGATAAAACAATATAAAGACAGTAGTGCTGGGCGGCATGACCAAAAATGTATATTAAACTCTGATTAATTTTACTTAATTTTTCATTTTATTTCTTTATTATTATTAATAAAAAATTTTCTTAAATTAATACACACTAAAAATCATAACTATCAACTATAATGAAGCTCGTATTTTACAGACTATCTTAAGTTGGTCTAACTCATCTTCTTTTGTTTTTTCTTCATAGATTGTTCGCTTTCAAAATGTGAGCCCAAAGCCGATGTCTCCAATCAAATAACAGGTAAAAAAATCAAAACTGTTGATAGTTTATGTTCATGCTGTGTTCTTGAGTCTGATTGGCCAGTAAACCTCAAGTTTCATCACAACCTAAAAAAACATCTAATTTTGCTATTTACTTTCACCTGTGTTTTTCTGCTTGGCAGGTTTTGGCTTTGTTTGTTTTGTCTGTACATTATCATGAAAGGAAAGACGTGTTTGAGGGTTCTTGTCTCTGTTTGATGTTTTGACTGGATGTCTCTTTCTGCAAAAGAAGCACAGCAAATATCATGTCTGCTGGATAAACATCAAACGTTGTTTGACATTTGTATACACAGACAACAAATGAATTGTTTTATCTGCGACTTGAACCCTGACTCTGATCAGCCATTCGTCCATTAGTATAAACTTTTTTTCTTTGTCCATAGTGTGGACATGGCTCGCTGGCAATGATCGGGAGCATATGTTGTGTATGATACACATTCTTTACATCTCTGACATGATGACTTTGAGTCAGGAAATCGCTGCTCCCAGAGCCGCAGAAATGTTGACAGTTCACACTCGTGGAGTTAAAATGAACCACATGTGCGCAATAGGGAGGAATCTGCCAGTGTTTTCAGAGCGAGACATCCAGCAGTTCTGTCATGAACACTTTTATGGCCTGTGCTTGCTGTAAGGAAGGTTTTACTACCGTAAAGTATGCTTCTCCAAATAACCAGTCCATACTACTATAAAAGTAATAGTATCCAGCGTTGGGGAAGTGAAACTGTAGCTTGCCAAGCTACTCATATTTTAAAGTAGCTTAGATGGTCAAGCTACTCATTTGATAAAGTAGTTATTTATCTTTTAAATATATGAAGATCAGATGAAATAATGTATTAATAATGGCACAATGAGGGTCTTGGTTAGAATGACAACATTTTCTAGTAGTAGGGATTTTGATTTGGTTTAACAACAGCAAAAATGTCATTTTACACTTAATAAAACTAGAAACACACTCTTTTTGTGTGATTAACAGCAGTTTAACTCAATATTTCTCTATAACAAGGGCTCAAATAAATGGTGAATTGTTTTTGAACAGTTTCTTTTATATTGACTGTTGAAGTGACATCTTGGTAGTGCTGTAACAACAAAGCCGAGAATCTGATGTGATTTTGCTCTGTATAGTGTAACGTGATGCATAATTCACCCACCATCTGTTGCATTATTTCCTGCAAACATTTCTGAGCAACTATTATTTTTTGTATTCATAATAGTGAACGCTTTTTGTTTGAATATGTGTATAGTTTCTCAGCTCAAACATGCAAATAGCTCCTGAAAAACAGCTGTGTTTGTGCCTTTGGCTATGTTTGGAATTGAATACTAGGTTATGTGAAGCAGTATGCAGTGGCAAATATGTCAGTATGCTACATTGTTGTCACATGACCCTCCGTGTTTCATTCTGGAAGTGATTTCTAGTTGTTGTCTCAAAAGTATGGTTATTTGCACTTGCATACAGAAAATTGGCATACTGCACTTACTGCAGAAATGATAATATTATAGTTTGGTTGTAATTGTGTGTTTTATTGTGCGAGTCATTTGTAGTCAAAGATATCAGCTGTTTTGATGAGCCTGAGAACCACCTAATTGCTTACAAACTGTAGACCATCAATACCCTGGTTTTAAATGATCTGAAGGTTCCATGTTTGATTATTGGCTGCTGTTGATCTTTGCTTGCTGCTGATTGGCTAATGGAGCACCTGTCTGTTTGATTATTGGGTAAAGCAACACGACTCAGCTGCTGTAATCTCTCACATTCTCGCCTCTCTCTGTCAACCGGTTTACGAACATGAGCCCCCAGGAGGAAGCATTCATGACTCTGTGCCAAAGAATAACTGCTTTCCCTAAATATTTAATCCAAAATGGCTTCCATTGAGAGACTGAACAACTTGCAGCCCTTTTACCATAGTACAAAATACAGCTTTAGACAAACTCATATAAGTTCAGGCATTGTAATGTTATAAATGGAGTATTTATCGCACAATAGGCTACACATTCTCTCGCAAACATCCTGACACAGAAAAGTTGCTTGGGTCCCGCAGCTGTGCTTTCTATAAATAGATGCCATGACCCACCCCATCAAAGACTCTTTGCCCCTCTCAGTACCCACAGAGCACATGACCAACGGATACACAAACATGTGCTCATGGGCTGTTCTGACATCACAGTCACAGGAGATCACTGTCCAAACAAGATAGGCCTGGATCGAAGTGTTACAGTGCTATAGTGAGTCTGAATATAGACCTAAATCTCCACAGCATTCAACAAATTAAGCTAGTTTTTAGCATTTTAACACCCTTTCAAACCTATTTAGTGATTTATCCTGATTTGTGACATGCAAGGCACCAAAGAGGCTGATCACTTTTAAGATTTTTATTACAATTTTTATTATTTTATTATTATTTTATTTTGTTTTATTTTATTATTGTTTTTTAAGTGGAAAACATCTCCTGTAATACAAAGAAATATCATTTATTTGAATGTTGCTTGCACAAAAAAATCTATTTGTCTCTAACATGGCTAATTTTAAATTGAGAGATGTTTTTTTGCAACATCTACCAGCAGAAGATAACTAGATCATGCTAACCAGCCAAACCGTGATTACATGGGTGTTATAGCTTTCAAGTGCATTCCTAACTGTCCCAAATCATTATGATATTCTGGTCCCTAAACGTGGCTTGTGTCCCCCTTATTTTTATTTTATCTTTATTTTATTTTATTAAGAATAAATTATTTTTTATTTTATTTTGTAGCCCCTTTATTGTCTGTCAGACAAAAAACTAAATCTAAATGCTTAGAAAAGTAATAGTGCACGTGTCACAAGCTGCATTATTTGAGGTAACATTGATGTCCACAACCTTTACTTAACTTTTAGAACATTTGGGCAAAGACGGTTTATACCACACACTTAATACCACACACTTAAAGTGAAAGGTTTTGTTACTTTATAAGATTTGAAGTTGTTGTGTGTTGCCTGTCTTTTAAATTAAGAAAAGAGGGGGGGAAAGAAGTGGGATAGTACAACATAAGGTACTTAAAAGTGTTTTGGCTCACTGGATTGCAGTATGTGCTGCTGTGGATTAGGGCTTAGTGTAGGCACTCATGTTGGACTTTTTATACTGTGTTTAGTCTCCTCCTCCTTTTTTGGAGTTGTAACGGTCATTAGGGATGGGTACCGAAACTCTGTATTTAATCGGTACCGGGGCTAAATTATGAAAGACCGGAGTATCGATAAGCTCTAACGTTAACGATTCTGCTATCGGAACTGGAGAAATTAATAAAACACACATACATTTATTATTGCTATATATACATTATCTTGCAAATTCTATCTCACCAGAGTCGCCAGCTGTTTTTCAAACATTTGTCTATGATGCATTTTTGCTATTCGCAATTCAGAAGCGAGATCGCGCTCACGCGGAGGAGCTTCAGCACGCGCAACATGAAAGCACTGTTTAGTTATGATAGAAGAGAGAACTAAACATTCAAACATCTGCTTACACTTTAGGCCTGTGGCGGTTTTAAGCTAATTTAATTTCCATTAAAACCTTAACGATACCCATCCCTAACGGTCATAACGGAGACTCAGGAATTTCAATAACGGAAAACTCAGTCAGTCTGAGTCTGATGCTAACTCACAAATTTTTATGATTAGTTTGGAAAACGTTTGCCAAGCTCCAGCCATTTTAGCTCATTATACTCCCTTTCTTATTTCAAACCAAAGATGTTTAAAAGGTGTTTGGGTTTTTATTGCCTTCTCATAGCCCTATATGGACCTCAGATTGTCACAGAGACATGATGATCTGTAAGGCTTAATGATTTCCAGTTCTTTTGGTGTCGGACAGCACATGGGTGTGATTATAGTAGGAAACGGATAGAATTTGGGTGGGAGAAGGAAAGGGTGAGGGACAGGCATTTATTATGTAGAGTATGGCGATGAGGTGGCCAGAAGAAGTGAATTAAAAGAGGATTTGAGGAGGAATATGTGACTCAGAAGACAGAGTGGTAGAGCAGTATGAGAGGCTGGCGTGAAATGGGTGGTCTAGAGAAGCTGCCCTGATCAGCTTGTGTTGTAGGTCAGGACCTCAAATTGCTCAGGTGGGGAAATGGTTAATTGAGATTGATGAGCTTCTGAAATAAAAAGTGCTGCTCTGAGGGCCAGAAAAAGGACTAAAATTGTAGCTATGGTGGGTAAAGAAAGTTTAGAAATTAAACTTTAAACTCCCCTTTTCAATAAATATAACTGATATTGATATTGATATAATTGATAATTGATTTTTTTCTGTTCCAGTGGTTAGAGATGTGCAAAATAAAACTGCACAGTTTTAAAAAGCAATTAATCTGTGGGTTGCCTGAAGGTATGATCAATCAAATCCATCTTAAATAGAGATGCACCGATTGCAATTTTCTTGGCCGATTTCCGATTTTTCGTTAGTGTGATCTGCCGATACCGATTTTTGCAGATTCCGATTTTCTTTCTAAGAACTATAATTGACAGCATATACAAACAAAAATCTACTTTTCTTCAACGCAAAGTTTTTATTTTCATTAAAAAACACAAGTAAAAAGTCAGTAATAAAATAAGAACAAATAAAAAACATAAATATTGGACTGCGGTCCCTTTAAGAGTTTATCCACGGACCCAATATACTGTTACACAACATGCGTTCTCTTTCTTAACTATTTAACGTTCCAAAACTGACTGTTTAACTGGATACTCACCAAAACGGGCATTTTGACAATTTTTTATGTATTTGAATGTTTTAGCGCAGATAGACACTCATTTTGGTATTTGTGGCTCACAAGCTGTTTGAGACTGACGCGGATTGTGCGCTCCACTAACATATATCAGTGGCCGGTCACCGATCCGGGCCGATCATGAGGAAAATCGGCCGATTCCGATCCCTGGCCGATCGATCGGTGCATCTCTTAAATTGTTAGTTTACCCAAAAATGAAAATTCTGTCATCACTTGCTCACCCTGCAC